AAAAAAAAAATCTTGATTTATCGAGAACCTTCAGGATCTTGGCAGAGAAGCTCGTTTTCTGGTTTCTTCCATCCCAGAGGTGCGGAACAGTTGACCCTGAGAAAATTCAGGGCTGACCCCGAGAAGTATTTCTCTGTTCACTGCGGTTGAAAACCAAGCAAAAAGGGCATAAGCCCTCTCAATCCTCTTTGGCACCATTCTGAGGTTGGGGTTCGACAACATTTCATGTACCCTTTCAGGGTAAAAAAAAAAAAAAGAGATAGTTTCACAAAAACACCCTCGACCTCAACGAACCCCAACAGAAATATTCTGCTTTGCAAAGGTTGTTGATTTGTCTTCCGCCAGGGGAAAAGTTTCTGCCGGCGGGAGAATCATATTTCTTTCCCCGTTTTTTATTTTTATTTCCCATGAAGACATTTTGTGGGGAACAAATTTTGCGAAAAAATCGTCTGAAGAGAAGTTATTTTTCTAGTGGGTGTTTTGAAAAGATCTGTAGTTCAATGTAAATAATTATTCTGGTTTTGTTGATTAAAGGCAGAAATAATTTATCCCGGTCAAGTTTCTTATTGTGTTGATGGTACAGTATCTCCTCATGTCATTTCTTGTGGTTTTTTTTTGTCCCCTAATCATGCGTAGAAATTATTAAAAAATGTATTTGATACCTTAGTGTTTTTATGAGTCAGAAAACTCAAAACCATTGTTGCATCACTAACAAGACAAATGAGAAGCTCTGTTCATTTGCCATTGATTTTATTCAATTTGTATCCCTACTGAAATTTTAAAAATAGATGTACGCTAATGTATATACTGTACAGCGCGTTGACAACCTTCACTGTTGGCATTTCATGGATTCAAAACAAGCTGCAATTTTTTTTGCAAACCCTCTTTCACACCTCAAACCTTTTCTCATCTCTATATCTATCACAGTAAGAAATAATTGTAATATTGGTCAGGAACTGATTGATTATTGTTGTGTAAAAATGAAGTCAGTCTCCATCCCTCTAAGAGTGTGTATTCAAGAGAGTCTGAAGAGGAAACTTTGAGTTCTTCATGTCATGACATAAGAAAAAGAAATAAAAGGTTCGGACTTTTTTTATTGACCTAAATCCGAAGATGCAAACACTCATGACATGTGACTGAGAAGTATAACACACAATACATTAAAGGGTTTTGGATCGATGAACGTATTTCAATATCTTATTAAGAAATGTGTTCCTAATTTTCCAAGTTATTTGTTTTCCCAGGAAACCAGTGGCATGTTCAAGATAATTCATTATATTTGTCCACGGAATTGCATTTCATTTCAGCATACAAGAGGTGACATGGTTCCAGCACGCAGAATCGTTTTGTTGCAAACCTGAAATTATTTAAGCAGCAGGGATTTTCCCCTACATTTCTGTCAGGTTCACTGGTATCCCAGAGGCTATGCAGAAATTTTTGCAATGTACAGTACTTGCAGCCAATTTACTCACACTTCTCAGCCCTTTTGATCCATATGTCAATACAGAAGCAAGGATTCCACCATGACAATGTTCCCAGCCTACAAGACAAAGGCCACCATCTATTGCCTGGATGAGTTGGGCCTGAATGTCTGAATTGGCGGGGAGTACATTGAGCAGGTGTCTGCCCAAGTGCCATATCGGTAAACCTTCATCACTTGTACTCTAAAAAAAATAGGGATGACAAGTCTAGTTAAGTTCAGGTGCGGTTTTGATAAGGTACGTCTTGGAACATTTTGGGTATCATATACAATCTTTGTCATATTGATTTGAAGAAATTTTGACTTAAATATTTTTGGAAGATATGAAATGAAGTTTTGGACAACAATCAGCCTGGTTTTGGCTGGGGTGCTTGACACCCTAGTGTAAGGTTTATATATTTTTCAGGTATTTTAGGTTGGTTCGACAACAGCAGTTTTCCCAAGCAGTCTTTTGCACAAGACAACACAGAAGCAACTGATGATTCAATACAAAAGTAATTCACTATTTCTACAATTTTCTTTTTAAGGCAATTTTTGTCCCTGAGAGCATTATCCTTCTAAAAGGATTTCCCCAAGAATTCCAAATCTCTTGGGAACTTGAGGTTGCGCTCGGTCCCATCAGATTCCCGACTTTCTCAAAGTTCCGCCATTTTCCTGGCGCCACTCTAATCCTTTAGTTTTAACCTATTACTTATTTCAATTTTCAACAGTATATATACAGAGCCTGGCAAGAAATCCTTTTTAATGAAGCTAAGTCATCATGATCTGATCTTCACAGAATAATGGGGATTTGAAGTAGGATTGGAATACAAAACGTGCCATAGGACTGAAATGCATTTGGCAATTATGCCTTCTAGCTATGTGCAATAATTTCAAAATGTTCATCGTTTCTTTTAGTTTATTTTGATTCCTGATATAGTAAATCTATTCCTGAAATATAAATGTGACAAGAACATTTGTTTTAACATTTTGGATACAAAAGGAATTCTCCACTCAAGTTTTAAAACGATAAGTTATATATCAGGAGAATTACTTCGTAAAAATGCAAATGCTTCAAATGATGTATTATCAGTGTGACGGAATAATTATAGATGCCATATGCTTTACCTATTGTTGGGGACTTGCGTCGCATCTCCCTTAAAAATCAATCATAAATGTTTAATCAGGTGGAAAACCACCCATGCGTGAAAAACGGATGAAATCCGTCAACGACTTTTCCCCTCTCCCAAAAAATTCAACTGTCTTGTCACCAAGACGTCTTTGATTACCAATTTCTTGGCCAATTCCAGGCCTCCAAGATTCTCCTGCCCTTGATCAACCCCCCTTGATCAAGGACCAGAGAAGGAATTAATAAAAACCCCTGTTAACCCAAAAGACAACACAGTCTGATTTTAGGTGCCAGAGCAGTGCATTGAGAGGTTTTTTGAGAGGTTTGATCTGTTATCCAAATATTTAGTCAATCTACTTGTGTTTGTGTGACTATTTTTCTAAAACGTTTAATTGGGACATTTGAAATACATTTTAAATCTTAAACTAGGGATTCCACCGTGAATTCCCAGCCCCAGTCCTGGGCTGATTCTGTGTTTTCTTTTACAAGCTATTTCAAAAACTTTTCTTTTTAGTAAACCTTTGTTGCGGTGACTTCTGTCCCCAACACCTATCACGTCACACGCAACAAAATCCCTCAAATAATCTAGAATATTCTGATTGGACTACCGTTAGATAGCAGTCCATGGTAATTGAATACTTAAAAAATTAATTCATCCATTTCAGCTGATCAGGTGTGACAATGCGGTCACCCATATTAACTGTAATTCCTGGAAGAGACTTGAGATCTGACTCTACAAATAATCCCAAAAATCAGAGACAGTCTACCGTCTTTTATTGTTTGAATCATTTTGGATATTTTCATGTTCAAATCCTTCCTAAAATTTTCATTGTCTGCGTTCTGTGCATTAATCTTTGGGAAAAGTGGAAAACCTTCAACTTTCTATCTTTTTGGAATTTCTTATTGAAATCCCCAGCTGAACCCCACCGTTGAATGCTATGTTTTATTTATGGAATTAATCCTTTTCTTGCCTCCTTTTGTGATCCTCAATTACATTCAGGTCGCTCTTATTTTTGCACAAGGGATAATTAATTTTTATGCACAGCAAAGAAAAAACATAATCTCTCCGCAAGAAAAATATATTTTCCAACCTTTTCCACAAACACTTCTAAAAAATTTCGGCCGCAGATGGAGGGCATTTCTTGCAACGATGGACGACGCCCACACTGCGTGAAGGAAGAAACACCCAAAATCGTTTCATTATTACTTTCTCGAAACTTTAAAAGAATATGTTTACTCACCATCCTGAGTATAATTTTCTTTTCTTTGGCCTGAAAAGCAAGCCTTGGTGAAAAAGAACTATATATTTTGAGGTAATGTGCATGCAAGATGCCACTGTAAATGCCTTAGTTGGAACATGCAAAAGGATGACGTGTGTCCAGGTTCGAATAAGAGGTTCCAGGCGTTGAAAATTTCCTCGATAAATTGGCCGATTTCGGCGTTCAATTTGCGTTTTCATAAATAGAAAAGAAAAGTACCTGACCTATTCGAACTTGAAAACAGGGCATTGTTTGACCAACCATTGAGCCTCACCTGGTTCACCTGCTGCTGTAGTAGTTGACGTGATCGGCTCAGTCGTACTCAAAATTGAAGAACTTCCTGTGCTGGAAGAAATTTCAGTGATTCTTGATGTCGACGCAGTACTTCCAGTAATAGTTGTGGATGACACAATCATAGAGGATATTGTTGTCCCTTGCTGCATGTTAGTTGTTCCACTTGCTGCACTGGAATTGGACGCAGTTGAAGTTGTGGCACTCATTGTGGATTGCTTGGATGTCAAGCTCGTTGATCCTGATTTACATAGGAATTTTGAGAAGTTGTTAGTCGTGAAAATGTCTTGCTTTTGCAGAAGACGTTGGGAATTCCTCTCCAATATTTGATTCCTAAACCCAAGGTAACGTTGATACTTTTTAATTTCGCGCGTGTAATAGAAAAACTTGCTGTAGTATTTCAAAGACTGACTCCCAAAATTATTATTAACCCCCGATTAGCTGAAATTCAAAAGACGATGCTAGACAATGGAATTTTTGATAATAAAGTAATTCAAAAATACTTCCTCATCATATTTTCAATCCAGTTAGATACTAGCTGTATTTGTCATCTTTATGAGGAATGAACTGATATATTTTCAATTTTCATTTTATTTGGCATCGAATTTAAGTCCGGAAAAGAAAATGAATTTTCCGTTTCATCTCCCAGGCACCCAAATTACGTCCAAGTCATGACCCAGGTAATCTTCGGGCACATTCTTATGTCACTGAAAAATAAATGTATCTGTGAATCTCCGAAGTAAAAAGTTTTTGTGGGCCCATGTACAGTACTCCACAAGTCCATAGTACAGTATATTATCTCATATATCAACGGCCGTGGACTGTTATTCAAACCTCTGCTTGCTGAGAGTGATGTTGACGCAGTTGAAGCAATAACTGAGCTGGCTTCTGTTGATGTTTGAGTAGATGTCGCTGCTGTTCCGGTGGAAGAAGACATCATCGTGTTTGCTCTGGATAAACCACCTTGTGTCGTGGAAGTAGTTGGACTGACACTTGTTGACGAAGTAGGTGATGCTATACGTTCGATTTTGTAAATGATAAATTTAAAAAAAGAGGAAAAAAGTGCTGTAGAGGTAAAAAGTGCGCAAAATGTAATTTCATGAGTCACCTTGTGACTTTAAATGCTAAACAGTACTTGCGAACAAAAACAAACTTATTTTGATTATTTTTCTCCACAAGAATTCGGATCTATTTCCTAAAACTCGAAGCACATTTTTTTCTCCCAAACGTGTTCAATTGAAGAAATGAGCTCAAAAAGTGTTATACCGCTTGTTGAATCTGCTGATGTTGTTTCATCAGCTGTCACAGGAACGCAGGTATCTTGAATTTCAGTCCAGTTTCCAGTATCTTCGTTACACGTCCTGCCCAAAGATGTGCTCCTGGAATTTGCCCATTTGTAGTCGGAAACACACGTGAGAGACCAGTGAGATATTTCGTCGTTCACGGAACAATTCTGTTGCATGTGAGAATCGTTCTTTGGCTCCGATGGCAGCCCTCCACATTTTTTGGTACCTGCAAGAATTCTCCAACCTCTGAGTAACTTTTGACATTTTAACCAGAACAAATCTTTGCATTTGAACCTCTTTACGTCAAACTTCAAGGGACTAAGAAAAATATTTCCGTTATGGAAACGAGCTTTTTTGACCGGGGAAAGAAAGAAGAATTGAAGGAAATTGTCTTTGGTAATATTCTAAGCCATACATTGCTTATTAAATAAGTTCATAAGAGGCTTGACTTATCGGCAATGCTCAATCATTATTTCATTTTCTTTCAAAAAGCATCAATTTACATTTTTCCTTCATCAATAAAATAATAGACAAAAGGCTCTCACAAAATTTGAGTTTTAGGAAAGCCGAGTTTGGGACTTTCAATACATCGATTTTATGTGAATCTAGAAATGGGGACTTGAAACAAAGTGACTTCGGAAGGTATTCTACTCATAGAGGTACGAGTTATTGACGTTGAACTGTTTTTTTTATCATGAAAAGGTTGGAAAAATAATAATGCGGAGATATATACAAGTACCAGGTACGCAAGGTCCAAGGGAATAAGGATACCAGCCAAAGTTCCCGTAACAGGTGCTGGTTCGAACTGTTACCGATCCCGTCTGGTTCACTTCCATCATTCCGCAATTACAATCTGGATAGGAATTAGTCGCTTCAAAAACATAAGCTCCATTGCTATCAGGTGCTGGTGATGCAGTGCCTGTCCTGTTGTTCTGCTTCGGAGGAGCAATTGTGCAATCTAAGTGTTTACATGATTATTATCGAGAAATTGATCAGTTGAAATAAAAAAAAGTTCTTCTCTTACTGGTCGCCTTTGCTAAGCCACAAACGATAGTAACTTTTCCTTCGTGCTGCTCACTGCATTCAAAATTGGCGAGGCCCCAGGATCCATTTCGATTCAACAAATAACTGCACAGAAATTTGGCATCAGCCTTTGGTTCTCCAGGCAGCCAGATGTTGGGATCGGTTATGTTGAGTTTCGTCATGGCTGCTGTGAAATCCGTGATGCCTTCAGTTTGAGCTGAACTGCATAAGAAAATGCTTTCGTTTAACTTGGCTATTTCTTCTCACAAATAATTGTTGAATTTTTATAATTTTGCCATTCTTATCGTAAGCTTGTTTCAGAATACCGTGTTCACTTCACCAATGAGTTCTGCACGACTGAACAGGTTCGCAATATTTTTACTTCGGATACAATTCATCAATCAGAATTCGACACAGTGAAACATTCTTTTCTGATCAATTGGAATTCATTTTGTTCTAGATCGGAAAGTTTGAAAGGCCCATGATTTCTTCAATTATTTTTTTATATCCAAAAACAATCCCCCAATTCGATAAAGCAAACGATTGCTGTGAAACAACAGATTTCAGAATCGAGGAAATCGAATGCTGAAGAAACTCAGAAGTTTATTATTACAAGATCAAGCTTATTATTCGCATGAATCATCAGTTCGACCGCAGATAAATTGAAAGAAAGTATCGAAGTGAAAATATCAATTTATCTTCAAAAATTCTTTTGATACTCCATTCTTAAAAAATTTAAAATGTTTTGACGTTTGCTTCGACGCTCCATTTTCGCAATAGAATACGCAACAGTTTGTTGCCCACTTACAAGAGGGCGTTGTTTCTCACAGGAATCATCACAGTGGGATTCCTAACATTCTTTTCCTCATCCGGAACTTGGGATAAAACATGTCCGATTTCCGCCGAGTTCGTGATCAGGGGCAATTGTAAACCTTGCTCAGAAGCGCATTTTGCTGCGGATTTTAGCACCCCGTTATCTGATCCATTTGATAGGAACGTGTATGGTTTATAAAGCGGACAATCCCCAAACTTCGGGAGTAGGGTTTGCCATGCAAGTTTTCCGAGGCACATAGTCGAGACTACAGTTCCAGTATTTTCTACCCCTCGGCAGGTGTAATTTAGAATTGTCCCGTAACGTAGTGTGATATTTGGCGCGGGGTCGAAATCCAGTTTCCATGCTTGCTTCGGAGCGAATTGGGTGAGTGACTGGAATAGACAGACTGGAAATTTTCGAAGAGATTAAATTTCGGTACATATGCGATACAGTATAATGATTGGATGTCAAATATTTCTGAAGTCTATGCATCACTTTCCCACAAGAGTTCTACAATATATCATAAACCCTGCAAAGTGGCAATTATAAATACATTCACTCACGAAGAAAAATTATGTTCTCTCGCGTTTTAATGGTTCTCGACATATAACCGCTGTGTAGCAAGGAATACTGTATTTTGTGTGATTTGAAAAAAAATGTGAAGGTATAAGGGCAGCGGAGATTTGTTCTGCGTAAAAGGGAAAATACGTATCAGTAATTCACTGATCAGCATGAACTATTCCTGCACCAAAAGCAAACCTAACAAAACTTTGTGATGCTTGAGAAAATTTCAGGACATAAAATACAATCGAAAAGGAATTTTTGTTTGGGGAAGCATAGACAATTCCAATGACATGACCTGTTTTACGTGAAGAATATATCATATTGAAATGTGGAAATCTATTTGAATTCTTATTTTTAATCTCGTTTCATTTAAAAAATTGTTTTCATTGGCAGAACTGACTCAACTGAGCACGGAAAGCTGCATGTCGGTATCAAAAGAAGCGCATAATCTTAATTTTTCAATAATTTTCATTTCATTTGCATCAATATGTGTCTCGACAGTCGAAGAAATGAAATGGCGTTCCTTCATGAAAAGAAATAAATTAGAGGCTATTTGTTCAAGGGAAATAAAAACGGAGACTTCGTCCTCGAGTAAGTAAGACAAATAGTGAAGGACATTCCTGAGGGATTCTGAAGTGGAAATTGGATTCGTGAACAGAGAAATGAAAAGTTCTGGAGCGCATTTTGCATTACGAAACAATGCCAAAATGAAAATATAAATAAACAACAATTGAGTTGAGTTTCATAGACAACTTCATATACGCAGCTTTTCATATTTAACAAGGAAAAGATCACCTCCACTCACCAGAAGGAGTCGATTCGCAAATGAAAGTTTTCTCTTGTGTGTCCATGCAATACACTGAATCGAATCCCCATTTAGTCACATATTTTAGCACGGTACATTTGAAGCGATCGTTAGGGACCCAATCCGGCGTCCAGGCACTTTCATTAAATATTGCAAAAGACCAAGTCCTTGTCAGATTTGCAACATACGATTTTTGTGAGTCCTGATTCCATAGCAAGGCCCTGAATGTAGATCATCCAAGATCAGGATAATTTTCACAAAAATGCATCGATGAATTCGTGATGTATACCCACAAACCTTATATTATTCCCGACCATGGCACCACTCAAACCTTTTTCCGACAAGAAACCTCCCAATTCCTCAAGTACCTCGGGTGAAGTTATTGTTGCCAAGGAACGATTGACTGAATTACAGTACTCCTCTGCCTTGAACGACTGGTAAGGTGAAGCAGTCGCATTGTACAATGTGTAAGTCTTGTTCCCAAATGCCATCGTTGCTGTGAAAACATGATATCCCAACAACAACAAAAATTCGTCGGAATCAATTTACGAAAATATGTTTTTTTCTCTTCATACCTCCTGGGGAAACGCAACTAAGTAAAACGGGTCTTTCCCAGCCGATTGGACCCCGACATTCTGCGATCAAGTGCCTGCTGATGGTTTCATCGAAAACCTTCCCAAGAGGACACTCGTACGTCGCTTTTGTTCCGAAAGTATAGTTTCCAGATGAAATAGGAGTGATGTTTTCAGTCCCTACTGAGCATTTGATTCCACGTACATTCACGTCATCCACAGTTAGTGGTGGCACACGGCAATCTGAAACAATCGACGATTCCAGAATAAGAGAAAAAAAGCCTCCGGGAATACAATATGATTATTTTCACTCGTGGGAGAGGATCTTTGGCACGCCGTGTGACAAGCAAGATCCGTACGATTCCGAAGAATGTATTTTTTGTAGCATTCGTGGTGCAAATCACTTATGAGTCCTCCGCGATAAATCAGCGCGAGTTCTCCGAGAGAATTGCGGGGGTCGATCGCTGGGTATTTCCACGGAACATCGGTGAGCATGGAAAAATCCAACGGATTGCGAAAGACCGTGTAATTACTGTAGCCAGCTTGCTCATCATATCTACAGACAGAAAATAAGTGAAGAATGACAATTGATTTATTGCAAATACAGTAGAATTTTGTTACACCGAATCTCATTATATTGAATTGTGTTCTTGGTCCCACACCAGTTTCTCATTGGAGTTGGTCAGTCAGTCACGACAACCGTCAGTCAGTCACGACAACATAAGGATGAAAATATTGGCTGTGGATCAAGAAAATTAGAAATACAAGCACAGAATCAGACTGCAAAAAGGCTGGGGATTCTGGGTAGAATCCCTACTTTAACTTCAAACTGTATTTCAGATGATTTTCACAACACAGGCAAAGATTAGAACAAGCCACAAGAGACATCAATGAACAGCACAAAAACCTCTGCATTTTTCAGGTTGAAGTTAAAGTTGCACTTGAATTTTTCAGGGAATACTGTTAGGAAGTTGCACAGTATTTAAATTTTAGTCTCATCAAGTCAAATGAACTTATTTCTTTGGGTTATTAATATTTTCCTGATTCCTGCAAGTCTGATTGAAGTTAAACAATTTATTTTCTTTTCAAACATTTACAGAGGTCATGTACGGAGAAGGGTACAAAATTTTTAGATTATCGTGAACATTTTTCGCGTTAACATTTTTTTTGCATTTCCAAGGATTGTGTGTACCATGAAGCATGCAGCGAACACAAATGGCTTTGTAGATTGATATTGTGGGGACACTGTTACATGTGAAGGTCTTTCTTTAAATGTTCTTCATTCAAAAAATACAAAGCTCGGGTAACACGCAAATTATTTTTTTGTCGGGTAATATTTGTTGAGACTTACATTCGAGCAGACGCTGTGAAGAAATCTCCCTCTTGTTCCGGTCGCAGGGCTTCCTTTGCCTTTGCAATCATATCTCGGGAGTTGATCATCATCAGGCCTGAGTTGGAGTATGATTGGCACAGTTTCGCAGCTTCCCAAATCGTGCCCATGAATCAATTGGGGAACACTGAATTACAAGACCTTCAGGTTCTCCGCATATGAGACTGGTTGATGGTCTTTTCCATCCAACAGTTCCCATGCAAGTGGCCTGTAAATAATCCCACGCAGAGCCCTTGAAAAATTGTCCTTTTGGACAACGATAAGTGGCGATTGTTCCATACGGGTACGTTTGATCAGCGGTGACGTCAACAGTAATATCCTGGTCTTTTTCAGCCTGGCTCAGCGGTGGACTGCTTGAACAATCTAGAATATTATGCAATGGCCGCATGAAAAAAATGTACAAGTAAATTCTACTCGCCAAAGAAAGATACATTTCGCACTACACAACTCACTTGTAGTCGTTGTTTTGTCGCACACTGCAGTCAGCTTTTCAGAATATCCATCAACATCGAAAAATGCGAACAACACCAAGCCTAAGACTTTTGGCCGGAAAACAAGCGACTTTTGAGATCCTCCACTCGGTTCATTCAGAGCCCAAGGAGTAGGCTTGAATTCCTGTTTATTTATGAATGTATATGTATCTGGTTTGTCTTGACCTCTGAGGGATTCGTCGCTATAAAATAATAAAAAAACATATTAAGATATATTCCCAAAATAAATCAATTCATGAATAACAGGTTCAAATCACATTCCGAATATTTGAGGAAAATTTCTGATTCAGCACAAATAGAATCAGAGGAAATTCCCAGGAATCGAACTAGATGTGAAAAAGCAGTATTTTATAAAATGAACCAAACAAAGTTCACAAAATTGGGATTAGAAGAATTGTCTATAATTTTTTTCTTGACATTAAATTCCCTAAGTATCAAACACATTTTTTAATCTTCAGATGTGAAAAAGCAGTATTTTATAAAATGAACCAAACAAAGTTCACAAAATTGGGATTAGAAGAATTGTCTATAATTTTTTTCTTGACATTAAATTCCCTAAGTATCAAACACATTTTTTAATCTTCATCCTGAACCCCGAAATGTTTACTTTTCTTTTTCAAATTTAAGGAAAAATTTTCTTGAAAATTTCCCTCCTTGAGAAACAAAGAGGTTAAGATTTTTGAGCAAAATTTCATGCTGATGCACGAAAATTAGATATTTCGTATTCAAGATTCGGTCAAGAAATCAGTTGAGAAAAGTAAATGCTCGCCTTTCTTAAAAAAAAATATTATGGATATGAAACTAAATTTCTTTCACATTCTTACTATCTGGCGTAAGAAGTGTAGACCTTTGTGATGGAGCTCGGGAATCCAGATACATCCCTTGCACATGAATCCCCGACAGTTTCCGATGTGATTCTTGGCAGTCCTGCATTTCTTGCTTTGCAAAATTCCACAACCTCCCAAAGATTCCCGGAAAAATTCGGGTCAGGGATCCAACACTGTCCTGAAATCTCTGAAATGGAGACAACGTTATTCTGTTCATCATTTTCAGCGAAAATGTTAATGCTCACCTGGAAGAAGATGAAAGTTCAGAAGACACAAGAGATGAAGAAACCAACATTGCGTCATTGTCGCTGCTTCCACGCAGGAAAATCTCTGCGTGGACTATCTTATAGTTTCCCAAGTTTTCTCACGTTCTCGTACGAATATCTGGGTCAAAAACGATTGCAGTTTAATAGAATTCCGAATGATTTCTGCAAAAAGCTGAGTGTCTCTTTGGAAAATGATTGCCATATGTTCATGGCTTATATCCTGCCCTGTCTTCAAAAATTAAACGCTTCGGCATGAAACTCCCACTGCAAACCATAATCACTACACTTTTGATATGTTTCGCCAATTTTTCGAATACAGTATGGAACTTTTCGGTCATACAAAAAATGTCTAATCTCTGACCATATTAAAAAAAATGGCGGTGTTATATCTACAACTATTTTCAGCGCTTTTAGAGCACGAACCATTGACCGAGCTGTAAAAACTGAATATAAATGCGAGGATGTTAAAATGCTCAAGATTTCATGCTGATCCGTCGATTCGCTTGATCGATTTATTTTGTATTTTGACAAAGCATAAACGTCGGAAAATTGAGTATTTGTTGCAAGGCTTAGTTTCAAAAATTATATACAGTATGTCGATACTGTAAACTCTTTGGACCCGTTTAGAAAAACAACAATGAAATTCGGGGCACGGTTCCATCATCAATAACCTTTTCGCCTTTCAAAAAAGTACATTTGACTCTGAAAGACATTCTTTGACTTCAATGACCTTCTCCGTGCCTCAATATCATTCAGCGGATCGCACAAATATTTAAAAATGTATGTTTTTTAGACCCGGTCGAAGTTTTTTTTTAACTAATACCAAGCAATTTCCAGCGGGAAAATGATATTTTTTCCTGTAACTCCTCCACGAACATCGCCTTCGAATACAGTACAGTACATCCTATAAAAATCAGACTTCATCATGAGATAAATAAAACACACAAAGAATCCTGCATAATGGCGACATATTGCAAAACACTTCATCCTTCAAGGCCTCAATTTTCTGCTGAACTTCGAAATTTGGTCGAAAAAATGTGTGCGAGTCGAATTTCCCCGACGTATTTCTACCTACTGAAACGGGGTAGTTCGCGTTTTATAAACCCTCTGATTGAATAAAATATTTATATTGATTGCACCATGGACACTAATGAGGAACTTTCTTGGACCAACTGGCATTTTATGGCAGACTGTGCTATTCCCAAGTGCTTAAAGCCCTATATGTGCTATATCAAGAGTTGTTAATTGTGCCACAATTTAGCACAATCACAATCACAAGTCTTGCGATTGTGATTGGGCAATCTTTTTTTTTACTCCTTGTGATAGTGATTTTGAATTTATTTTTTGATGGCTTGTGATTGTACTTGCGATTGTGATAAAACTGACCTGAACACAGTCACAACCAATACCAATTAACTTCAACAGTGTATGCATTTTTCTTCGGAAAATTGATTTAAACCATGATCAAAATTCAATGAAAATAATAAACTGTAAACTTTTTTGTTAACTGTGTAAGTTGCTAGATGAAAGAGGATATATTGATTTTTATGGCTTCAACTTAAGACAGGTTGGCACAAAAAGAAGCTCATTATATTTTCTTTATTGGTAATTGCACTTGGATGAAAGAGTTTGGGCATTCAATATTGAATAATACTTCAGAAAGGCAACTGAGCTTTATTCATAATTTTTGGTACTTTACTCCCTTATCAAGGCCGATTTTTTCTGTTTTTGTCTGGTGAGAATCCAAATGGAATGAGAAAAGATGACATCCACATGATGCGAAAGTATTGTTTTGATTATAATTTCTTTGTTATTCTTTTCATCCATTCACAAGATTGATATTTCTGAAATAATTTGAGATTAATCAGGGATGCTGGCAATAAATGGGAAATGCACACAATGGAAATCTTGAAGAGAGTTGCAATTACCCCTGCGATTGTGATTGAAAAAAGTAGGAAGAAATCCATTCTAATTGCGATTGTCGATACAGAATAATACAGTCTTGCGATTGAGATTTTGAGTGTGAAATATTTTTGGCACTGAATTGTGATTGCGATTGTGCTAGTAAATTTTTGATTGTGAATAAATACCCTGGCTATATCTAATTTTGTATTCGGTTTACTAGGAGTCAGTCGAGTGATGGGGATTTTATCCTCACGGAATAATAAGCTCATTAATAAATACTGTAATATGTTGCATGCAAAATGTCATTGTTGTGGGAGTCAATTGTATACACCAGTTTCAATTGTCAATGCATTGATTCGGGCATTTATTATTCACCTGAATTGGCTGGAAATAGATGGAAAACCAAGACAGCAATCGGTAAGAGTGACGCTCGTTCGACATTCATGATTAACTCGATTTACAGCACATGCATTCCTGTCCTTCATCTTGTTTCAAGCGTGACTGCTGAAAACCCAGACACACACCTTTCGAAAAAATACTCAAAATGCAGCAAAGCATTGACGTCAAAAAATAAAATAAAATATTTTCAGCATTTTGCCTCCCAATTAAGACAAACGAGCTTGAAGGTCTGCATGCGTGTCGATTGCTGGCACTTCCATCGACAAGCACAACGATGGAATCGCCTGCTTTTCGTGACCGTGTTGTTATCTTCAAAAAGCCTGGAGGTTTTTTTTTCTGTCAACTCAAGGAAATTTCCATGAAAGTCAAAAGCATATTCAGGATGTCGAACCACCCGAAAACTAGTTCTTACCTGGTCAACTGAATCAAGCATAGAGAAAGGGATCATCTTTACAAGGTCGAAAAATTAAAAATATCCTGACAAATTGGCTGATTCCCGCGCTTGACTGGCAAAATTCAAACACATGACTTGTTTTTCAACATCACAATGGAAAGAATTGAGGTAAAAGATAGAGGAATAATCGAATTATTCTGGCTTAATTTCAATCACAAGAAATGGCACCTAGAAATCGAACGAGAATAAATTTGGAATTTCAAGGGCAATTTCAATTCAATTGACAGAATTGTTTTTCATCCATGTATATCTGCTTTCATTCGCCAAAACCAAGTTTATGAAGCAAGCACACATATTTAGAAAAGCTTTAGACTCATGACAAACTTTCCAGCGTTAGGATGAATCTTCCTGTTGACTATAAATCTGTTGAATTGATGATGAATCACCAAAATATGTTTTTAATATCTGTGCTCGTGCAGGAAAAGAAAAATCAATGTGTGATATGCATCGTGACATAACACTTCTAAAATTGTTTTTTAAATCGTGGAAGCCTTACCATCAGGTTCTTTTACAGATGTCAATGTAGTTCTTAATGTGATTGTCATTGCGTCAGTAACAATTAACGATGTTTGCGTAGTTTCAGTTGTCACTTCCGGCGTCTCCTTGGCTTCTGTCAACTCATTTGTCAACGTGGATTCAGGCAACTCATCTGAATGCAAATTAAACTAAGGCTTAAATACCGAATAGCCAAGAAAACTATCCATGTAATTACCAGAAGTGAAATCAGATGTTCCGGTCTGTGAAACTTCGTATGCATTTGATTGAGTGTATTCTGTGGATAAACC